CACATGTTCCCCGAAGGGTTTCCACAACGTCTGGGAGAACGCATAGTCCGAGCTCTGGCCGCACCTTTCAGCCACACAAGCGCTTCCAAAAGGACGGGGGCGGCGGTGAGTCGCGGCAGGCGTCTTCGATCCGCCTCCACTGTGTCTTTCCACAGCGCTGCACGGCGTGCCAGATTTTCCGTTGAACGGTTCCCAATTGGGTCTCGGCCAATCCCACGCGCCGCCCAGACAAGCCTCCCGACGGATTGCTCGTCTAAGCTAGGGTCCGAATGCCATCCGAAAGAGCCAAGATGGCCTCCAAGATGGCGAGGATGGCCCAGAGAGTCCAAGATGGCCCCAAGATGTCTCCACGACGGCCAAAGATGCACCCAAGACGGCCACGATGGCCCCAAGATGGCCAAAGAGGCCCCCGTGAGGCCGCAAGAGGGCGTCAAGACGACCTCCAGGATGCCACTACCACAGGCTTTACAACGAAATTAGCAATTTTTAGCGTTACACGTCGGTTGGAAGATGTAGGTAAAAACGTGCAGTAGGAAGGCGGATAAAGTAGATGTGGTTCAGCCCTCACAGAGAATGGCAAACACACAGTAGAGGCATATTGATTGTTGAAGTAGGAAGGCGCCTAACATAGATTGGGATCTGGGAGTCCACAAATACCTACTTTCAACGACTGACGGGCATGGCCTTTTCGGGCTCCCGACACTCCAAGACGGCTTCATAATCAGGGTCTCCTCAAAGATAGACGGCCCAAGAGGCCCCGCAAAGAGGGGCCGAAGAGGGCCGAAGATGCGGACTGGATGGCTCCAAGATGGCCCCATCGACCTCCCAGACGGCTACCGCGCCCAACGACCCACGATTGCCCACAGAGGGCCCCACGACGGCTTCCGAAGGCCATCACGAGCGGCAAACGTATCCGTATCCGCGCCCTCGCAGTCTGTTCTCTGGGGCGCGATCCCGCGGACACGCGGTCACGCGGATACGTTCCGCGCGGAGCATCGGCGACATCACTCTCCGTATCCGCGGGGTCGCGGCCCAAAGGGACCAGCCCGCGAGGATGCGGACACGGAAGAGGTCCCCCTGCTGCCCCCAAGGGGATCCATCGGGGATGGACAGACCCCCCTTTAGTAAAACGTGGTTTAGTGAAAACGACCTGAGGCCCAAACCTGGCAGGCGCAAGCCTGGAAAATAACGGCCACGGCGCCCTCTCGAGAACCGAAAACGGACAATTCACTAATCGACGTGTCACTGTTGGGGGTTCTGTCCAGTCCCGAATCCAGAGAGGCTCCAGGAGCCTGCAAGAGGCCCCTGAACACCCAGTCCAATAGCTTCCTCTGACGTCGGCCCAGCGTTTGGCCGCATGGGCGCTTTCAACAGGGAGGGAGCTGCGGTGATTCGCCGTAGGCCTCTTCGATACACTGCAGGGTCGGAGACGTATTGGCCCGGGTCAGTGCACACCCGGGCCAATCAGGCCTTGAAGGAACCTGCAGGGTCCTGCTGGACCCTGCAGGTTCCTGCGCGCAGGCCCGGGTCAGTGCAGCCCTGGCCCTGCAGGACCCTGCAAGATCTGTGCCCCGAAAGGGTGTGCCCGGTTTTCGCCCAATCGGCGGTGGACAAACCTCCCTTCAGTAAACCTCCCTTTCGTGCAAACGGCCGGGGACCGATGCCGACGGACCTGGACCCGCAGAAATGACGGCCGCGACGCCCTCTCGCACACCGGAAACGGCCAATTCCTCAATCGACGTGTCAGGGTAGGAGGTCTGTCCACCCCCGACCCACTGGCCGCCTGTCGCCGCCACGTGCGCTGGCTCACCGCCCCGGTGCTCTGGCTGGCGCTTCCCGGCCCTGCTCCGGCGGCCACGCGTTACCGCTTCGTCGCCGCCCCGCGAGCTTGCTCGCGTCAAGCGGGCGCCCGTCGTCGCATCGTCGCCGCCTCGTGAATTGGCCCGTCTTCCTGTATGCGCATTCATATTAAATGACATAAAGCACCCCACACAAATTGCTCTACTTAGATTCTCTTTGCGTCCCCTGAATCAACGGCTCCAGACCCCCGGAATCATCGTCCCCTGTCCGCCCCTTGTGACAGTGCGAACTAAACGATTGTGCCCCATCGCTCATTGCACACACGACATGATAAAATCATGCGCCGGCCGGGTATCACCCTCTTTTATATTCTTATCTATGCATACTACGCGCACGAACTCATGTATCACAATCGCTAAACTTTCAAGAGCCCGTGACAAAACTGGCACGAAATCAACACGCGCGCAGATGTCGAAATTATACAAGCAACCAAAAATGCCATCTGTTCAACGTACAGACACCAGAACACTTTCGGTCTGCCAGTACAAGTTTTGTAAATGTCTCGCCCAGCGAAAGCACCATGTAAAGGCCGCGCTTTCATCTCACACAACGGTGCGTCCGCCTTGTTGCGGCATGCGCCATGCACAAAAACGTATCACGTACCAATATCAGGTCCACGCGAGCGCGCCGCCACGTGCGCGTGTCAAAAACCACTTCAAACAACATTCTCCGAAGCGCTTCGACCAGATGTTCGAACGCAGATGGAAAGCCAAGTGATTTCCAACGGAGAAATGGCAACGTTTCTGGGAATCCAGCGCGCGCGCTTCCTCAACACCACCTTCATCAACGCCGTCGCATCACGTCGTCGTCGTCGACACCCGCCGCCAATGCCACTATCACCACCGTAAAATGGACGCCATCGTTTATCATCGTCGTTTCCAGCATCGGCGCCGGGATTTGCCTTCCCGTTGTCATCGTCATCATCGCCACCACCACCGCTGCAATCATCATCGTGGCCGACGTTGTCGGCGTCATCATGACACCGCGCCCGCCCGACTCACCAGCCCGCAATGAAACGCCCGACCACCAGCGCGGCCTTTGAGACGCGCTGGGAAGTTCCAACCGGCAAGCGCCATCGTGGCCGCATCGGTTGTGCCAAACCAGCTGGTCGCACTGTGCCAGAGTTTGCGCGCGCCAGCGCGGCCGCAGAGAGGCGCCAGCCAGAGCCAGGCAGTCATCGCGATCACGGTCGTCTGGGATTGGCACATCAAGTTGCGGGAGAGGGTGTGGGATGATTGCGCGAGCATTGGGGCTGTCAGCCCACGACATGACACGAATTAGTTGCACCCCGCAGGCTGCACAATCTTATATGCGTCACGCTCTGGGCTGTGGCCCGGCAGCCGCCCTTCGCCGCGACGCAGGAGCCTCTTCTGTTTGCCCGCCAATCAGTGCACACACACACACACACACGCATGTGGCTGCAGAGCCCGACAAGCGGCCCGGCGGGATCATTCGAACATTTGCAGAAGGGGGATGAAAAAGGCAGAGCTTAGAAGCGTGACGGAGGAAGTGTGAGGTAACTCAGCAGAAGCGAATGATTGTTGCTTCTTGGCGTCCTCTTGGGCGCCGTCTGGGCACACTCTTGGAGCGTCTTGGGGTTCTTCCTGAGCCGTCTGGGAGCCTTCGTGGCGCGCCTAAGGAATGTGATTGGCCGTCAGGAGACGACCGCGGGCGTGCGCGACAGATTGTCCGGCGGCTCGGGCGCGACTCGGTGCCCTGTTGGGCTGTCCTTGAAGTGTCTCAGGGCGGCTTGGGGCCCCGTTGGATGCTCTGGGCGCCCCTGGGGAGCCCCTGGAGCCGTCCTGAAGAGGGTGGTGGTCCTTCTGGGGCTGGGTTGGAGCATCGGCAAGCCGAAAAGGCGGAAACCCACAACCAATGCCAAAAACCACACGGTTTTTGCCTCTGGGGGCCCTCTCGGGGGCAGTCTGGGAGCCCTCTCGGAGCGTCTGGGGCGCGTTCTGAGCCATCTGGAAGCCTCGGTCGGGCGTCTCGGGAGCGTGGTGGGACATCTGGAGACGGCCGCCGGCGTCTTGCGAATCAGGTGCGGCTCGGTGCTCCGTTAGGCTGCCCTGGAGGTATCTCTGGGCGGCGCTACCAGCAAGAACGTGTTTCGCATTGGTTGCCGCAGCTGTCGTGCACGATCCTAGACCGGGCCACGCGCGCGCAGATGTCGAATCCTCACAGGACCACTGGTTTGACAAGTAAGTACTCAGCGTATTGTGTTTGCACACGCAGACACGCACATCCGTGGCACGTCTGCCGGTCTGTCACAAAATGAAACCGTGCGGGCGACACGCGCGTGCATGCCGAAACGATTGCAGACCAGTGGTTTATGATCCGTGTCGAGATCGATGTGATCAACAAATATCATCAACCGATGTCATACCAACTAAACCTAACATGTCAGCGTTTCTGCGCGCGCAATTCCTCATCGTCCTCATCAACACGATCATCATCATCATAATCGCCAGCGTCATCGTTGCCACCGGCATCATCATCATCATTATCATCATCATCATCATCATCATCACCATCACCATCACCATCACCATCACCAACGTCTTCGTCATCATCACCACCGTCGCCATCGTGGGGATGGGACCCAGGGACCCTGGTGGCATCAAATCGATGACAACTAAAACCAACTCTCACAACCCAAAACTTGGCAAATCTCGGCGTATACAATCTCCGTGAGGGCCTATCGGCGGGGCATTTTGCCACGAACGCTTGGGGATGGGCCACTGGCAACCCGTGGCGCCTCCCTGGCGAGGAGCCCGAGGGCCACGTGACGCCACTGAGCTGTGAGCGCAGAAAGCTCACAGCCTGACTGTGTAGAGGGCACAACGCACCTAGCTTGTCCCCCCCCTCTTTCTCCTCCTCCTCCTCTTCCTCTTCCTCTTCCTCCTCCTCCTCCTCCCAAGAACCCACCACAAGGCTCCAATAGAGATACTATTGGATCATCAGATGCCTCTGGTCCACGACGCAGGCACAGTGGCGGGACGGGCCGCGAGTGCTACACGGACATCATCTTACTGCCAACCGCTGTCGCCAGGTCCGACCCTGAAACGCATGGAAGTTGCATGGATGCAGCTGCGAACAGCGTTCCGACGACGAATGCAGGAAATGGGGGGAAGACGGACCTTGTTGTCTTCCTGGTCCTCTATCTCTGGATCCTTGTGGCCAATCTCGGTGTCTTCGAAATCGACCAGCTTGTCCGCCTGGTCGTGCAGCTCTTGTGTCGGAGAGACCTCCCGCGTCCAGATGGCCTCTGCGGATGCGGCTTGCGAGGGGCCGCTCCAGTCGCAGCCACTCCGTCCTCCTCGTCCTCCTTCGTAATTGCCTCCTCCTCCTCCTCCTCGTCCTCCTCCGCGTAGCTGAGCTTTGCTGATGGCTGCTCGGAGTTTGATAAAGGCTACGGCGCCGTGCCCGGTGCGCGGGACGGAAACCATGAGGCGCGCGGGACGGAAGCCAGGAGGCGAAACCAAAAAGCATGTGAGACTGAGCACTGTGGGCGAGAGGGCTGCACGACCCATGTCGCGATGCAGGGAGCGCCCGTGGAAGACAAGCCATGGTAGCTGTGGCCCCGAGGGGGCAGCAGCGCAACGCACCCAGGGTGGCAGAGCACATCATAGAGCAACACCTGGCTCCCCCCCAAAGCAGAATGCAGAACCACGTTTTGGAGCATGCCACCTTGATTCCACCATTTGGCGTGCCTAAAAATCCCTACCATGTGTTTGCATAACCAATGGGTTCGAGGCCTGTGGCAGCTGGCGCTGCTTCCGTACAGTGGTGTTGATCGGGGTTCCATCCATATTCCCACCAGCCCTCGGGGCGTAGGTGGTTTAACTGATGTTGCCCTCTCTCTCTCCACCAGAACCCCTCCATCCCCTGCTCGGGGGAGGAGTGCATCATTGTTCACAATTCATATGCGCCCCCTCCCCCAGGCGACTGGCAGCCAACCAGAAACCAGGAGGAACCTTGAGGACCCCATGCTCACCCCCACCACATCTCTGTCAAGAAACCCGCACAAACCGCACTCTGTCTCCACATTTGGAGCATGCGCGGCCAGACCGATGCGACCCCCGCACCATCCCTGTGAAAACCAAAACAAAATACACTTTGGGGCCAAGTCTTGAATCATGTTCGTGAGGCCCGCGAACACTTTAAATTGGTTTTGAAAGGTACTGTGGGGGTGTCAACATATTCCCTGATCTGCGCAGGGCTACCACCCCTGACAAAAAAACCGACCATCTCTGACAAAAACCACATACAAAATGCACCTGCGGCTAAATCTGGATCGTGCGCGGCCATCCCGCGATCACTGTCTAGTGGTTTTTGACAGGGACGGCGGGGGCGGTGGCGCGTGGCCTGCTGTGCGCAGGCCCACCAGAGACAATGATGGGCATTGGTTTTCGACAAGGATGGTGGGGGCCGACATGTTTCCCGATCTGTGCTGTCACGCGCGCAGGCGCACCTGGCGCATTCTGCACGTGCCCGAAGGTGGCGCACCTGGCGCGGCTGGAGTATGCGGCACACCGGACGCACGCGGAGCACGTGGCGCATCTGGCGCACCAGGCGTGCCTGGCACGCTCAGGCCCTAGGGGTGCCTGGCGCGCGTGGCGCGTCTGGTGCGCGTGGCGCACCTCGCCCCAGCGTCGTGCACATGGGGTCGGCTTTGGTCTCCTGTAGCTGCCCATCCAAAGACGACCGCTGAACAAGCTCAGGCTCGGGTGTTACTGATGTGTTGGGAGGGCGGGTGGTAGTGAGGTAGACGGCTTGCGGGCGGGTGGGTAGCTTGACCCCACCCTCTACACCCTCCCCTGGGCCTTGGAGGGGGGGGGGGGCGAGTAGTTAGAGCGCCCAAGATGGCCAAAGATGGCTCCAAGAGGGCCTCAGGGAGACCAAGGTGGCCTCCAAGATGGCCCAAGATGGTTCAAGATATCCTCCGGCACACATCCAAGAAGCCTCAAGACGGCCCCAAGACGGTTTCAAGCGCCCTCCGAGCCCTCCAAAGACCAACCCAAAAAGCCCCAACTTGCTAAAACGTCTGAGGAATATCAATGTGTGTTACCATCTCGCCTGTTCGCTGACGATGGGCTCTTGAAGCCTCGAGATGACCCCAAGACGGCCCCAGAAAGGCCCAAAAGGGGCCCAAGAGAGCCTCAAGAGGGCCCCAAGAGCGCTCAAGAGCGCTCCAAGAGCGCCCCAGGTGGGCCCCACGACGTTCTTTTTGAGACTCCGAGGGGGTTGGGAGGGGACCTGAATATGCCTCACCCCCTCCCCTTTTGAGCCATGGGGCTCAAGAGGCCTCCCAGCCTCCAAGGAGCCCCAAGAAGGCCCCAAGACGCCCACCACGAGCCTCAAGAGTGCCCCAAGAGGCCCCACAGGAGGCCCTCAGAGAGCCTCTAAAATGGCCATCGTCGTCCTTCAAGCACCTCTCACAACAACATACCTCCAAAACCCGAGGTCTCAGCCTCCTCGTTATCGTCCGTTCCTTCCCTCCTCCATTCCTGCCTCCTCCATCCTCCTCCTCCTCCTCTTCCTCCTCCTCATGCTCCTCCTTCTGTTCCTCGTGCCACGCGCCTCCTCCTCTTCCTCCTCCTCTTCCTCCTCCTCCTCCTCCTTGTCGTCTTCGCCCTCCTCGTCTTCCCCCTCCTCCTCATTCTCTCCTCATTCTCTCCTTTTCCTCCTCCTTCTCCTCCTCCTCCACCTTCTCCTCCTCGTCCTCCTCCTACACCCAAGATGGTCTCAGGATGTCGAGCATGGCTCTGGATAGCCTCCGACGGACCTCCAAGAGGCCTCAAGACAGCCACAAGACGGCCCATGATAGCTGAGCATTGCTCAGGATGTCCTGCGACAGCCTCTAGCCGAACATGGCTTCAGATAGCCCCCAAGGGGCCTCAAGACAGTCTCCCATCGTGTCTGGCTGGGCTAGTGGAGATCCGCGAAGCGTCACGAATTGTTTTCTTGTGCTAGCCTCCCCCCAGGATCGCCTTATTTCCTTACAGTGGCCAAGCAACGCCAAGCAACGCCAAGGAATGCCAAGCAATGCAGAGCGATGCGAACAACTGCCAAGCAATACCAAACAGCGCCAAGCAACGCCAAGCAACACCAAGCAATGCCAAGCAACTCAAAGCCACGCCACGCAACGCCAGGCAATGCTGAGCAGTGCGCCCATGCAATAGGAAGCTTCCCCAAATTGAGGTCGCGCAGGGCTCATTGGAATTATCTGGATCTTCGCTGTACAGAGCTCCTCAGCAACACCACCCAAATCATGGGGAGGGCAGCTGAACTTATGGGTGTGTGGCGTGTGGGTGGCGTGTGGCATTTGGCGCATCATGGAGTGATGGTGCAGAGATCCGCTGGTCCCCTTGTGGGGCCACCAGGCTGTAGGGCGAAGGTTTGCTGCTCCCTGCACCAGTTGCAAGTTCCAGTTTACAATTTGATTGCTCTACTGTCAACTTCCTAATGTTCATTGTTACTGAACGCGCGAGGGGGGGAGCCGAAAAATCGCACTTTACCACGCCCCTCCGGGTTCGCAGACTTCCCGGGGGCCGTGGGACATGCAAAAATACTTGAGATGCGATTTACTTACGATTCGCGTCCCCGAAGCCATACACTCTAGTAGATTACGCGATGCTCGCGTATCCGAAGCCACAAACCTTTTTGTAAATTAAGCAATGCTCGCGTCCCAGAAACTGTACTTTGTAATGTACGCCAGATTCGCGCCCTCGGGGCCATAAACCTTAGTAAGTTACGCAATATTGGAATCCGCGAAACCATACAACTTTGTAAAATACCCAACAGTTGCGTCCTCGAGGCAATAAACCATGGTAATTTACGCTATATTCGCGTCCCCGAAGCCACAAACAATATTCGCGCCCCCGAAACCATAAACCCTTGACATTTACCCAAAGTTCGCGTCCCCGGGACCATAAACCCTTGTAACATACACCGCAATCTTGCCTTCGAGGCTACGCTCCCTCGCACATTCCCGCAGATTCTCGCCTTCGAGGCCATGATCTGTAGTAGATTACACGGTGTTCGCGCCGTCGAGGCCAAGACCGCCCCAAGACGGCCCAAGAAGCCTCCAGGAGAGCCCCAAGACGGCCCCAGAGGGCACCAGGACAGCTCAGGAGGCACCCAAGACGGCCCAAGAACTCCTGAAGATGGCGCCAAAAGAGGTCCAAAGCGGGACCACGAACCAAATATTTGACTTCAGCCCCGCGAGGGCGAAAGAGGGCTCCAAGTGACTGCCAAGCCGCCCCAACAGGCTTCCAAGAGGCATCCCAAGAGGGCAGCCAAAGCCACGCGATGCTGCCCAACGTAACTTCAAGCAGCCCCGAATCGCTGCTCCAATACATGGCACGAAAGGGAACTGGAGAATAACAACACGGACTTCAACTGCACGTCCTGAACCTGAATCTGCCGCTTACCAATCGCCCTCGCAGGAGGCTCCGACATTGTTTCGCAACGGCGCAAAGGAATTCCAGCATAGCTCTGTCATAACCCATTATGATAGAGAGGGGGTCGGCGGCAGGGGGCGAAACCCTTACGGATGACACGCTTGCAGTAGGGATTTGCCTTCCTGCCACCATGACGCATCGGGCCAACATGTCCTCAAACAAACGAAGCCGCTCATGGCCCTGATTGCTCAGACAAGGACAGAAGAGCTGTGCATGGGGTTGGCTGTTCATGCGCCTGGCTCCAAAACCTCTCCCAAACGGCTGGGGGGTAAGACAGGATTCGACATCTCGGCCGAGCTCTGACCAGAACTTTCGGCCACACAGGCGCTTCCATAAGGCAGGGGGCGGCGACGATTCGGCGTAGGCGTCTTCGATCAATGCCGCACTACTGATTGCGGTTGGTTATTTGGTGAGGGCGCTGCATCGGCCTGCTGGACTCCAATGATCCCGACTGTGTTCATCACCGAGGCGAGGGCACGAAGCTGGCTTACGAGAGCGTAGACAAGCGCCTTTCACCAGTCGCCAAGAACCCACTCGCCAATGGCCTGGATCTGCCTCTGGGGATTTACGATGTCTTGCACCGAGGCAAGCGACTGTTTCTCCGACGCTTGCGAGGACGTATTTTACGAGTAGTGGAACGCGCTCGGCGAAGGTTACCAGAACCGAGGCGAACGTTGCTTCGACTATACGGACCAGTGCTGCGGAGACGGGCCTCGCAGTCTCCCTGGTCCTCCGTCTCTGGATCCGTCTGGCCGACCTCGGTGTGCTCGAAATCGCCCCTCTTGTCCTGCCCGTCGAGGCGCTCTGGCGTCGTAGTGCCCGCCCGCGATGCTGGCGGTCGAGTGCAGGATGCCTCCGAGCTGGCAGGGCAGGACTCGACAGACCGAGGGAAACAGCGAGCCAGGACTAGGCAGGACAGATGATCGCTGCGATGCCAGGATCGATGAGGTAAAGCAAAGGCGAAGTACCGACGCTGGCAGCACACCGTCACCCCACAGGAGAAGCCTTACAATATATCAGAGTGAGGGGGCCGAACGGTCATTCACTGTCCCTGGGTGCGTGGCTGAAGTGAGATTCCGCGGTGCGGATTCGTGTTGTTGTTGTTGTTGCTGTTGAACATTATTAATTCTAAAGAATAATTATTGTTGGGGCCCCTGGTGCACGGCCCCCCCGCCGCGCCTAGGCCGCAACTACATTTTCATCATTTTTTCGCGAAAGCTTCAGAAAAGTGGATGGGGTCCAGATCCGGTTGTTTTGTTGTAATCCGTTTTCCCTTGCAAAAAACACTATAAAATGACATTTCTTGTTCTAATATAATCAAATTTCAAGAATCCCTTGCAAAAAATAAGGTAAAGTGGACATTCGCGCGCGCAAGACGAAATCCTTCCAAAAGCTTAGTGTTCGGAGCGATTTTAACATAAAAACATCAAAAAACCAATGGTTTTTCAACAAAAAAATGTCAAAATCTCATCCCGCGCGCTCTTGCGGATTCGTAGGAAACCCAACACTTTTTAAACATTTCTGTCAAACGGGCTTTTGCGAGCAACTTTTTCGAACTTCTGCGACAACGGTTGCGCACCTGCCAGGGCCATCATCCCTGTCAAATAATACCATGCGGGACACATTCGTTTTTTCTTCGCGCGCGCACGCCGTCGTCGTCGGCCGCGGGGCCCTGAATAGTAGCCACGGTCGTCCGCATGCCACGAAGTGAAGTGTCCGAACGTCATAGGGCGGGAAGCTGGGTGTGGGTGGTGGCGAAGAGTCGTTTGGAAATTTGGTAGAGCTTGAACCGGCCCCCCCACAAAGTGGGGGTATTGCCCGCCTCCTATGAAAACCCTGGCACTGGTGAGAACGGAGTGTCCCCACGTGCTAGTAATTGTTGTTGTTGTTGTTGTTGTTGTTGTTGTTGTTGTTGTTGTTGTTGTTGTTGTTGTTGTTTGTTGTCGTCGTCCCACCCGCAACCCGCCCCGCGACCCACCCGCGACCCACCCCGCGACCCACCCGCGACCCACCCGCGAACCACCCGCGACCCACCCGCGACCCCCACCCCGCGACCCACCCCGCGACCCACCCTGCGACCCACCCGCGACCCACCCGCGACCCACCCGCGACCCACCCCACGACCCACCCCGCGACCCACCCGCGACCCACCCGCGACCCACCCGCGACCCACCCCGCGACCCGCCCGCGGCCCACCCCGCGACCCACCCGCGACCCGCCCGCGACCCACCCGCGACCCACCCGCGACCCACCCGCGACACCCCGCGACCCACCCGCGACCCACCTTCGACCCAAACCACGTTCAAGGTACAAACCAACATTTTCGGCGCCTGCGGCGGGCTTTTTTTGCATTCCTTCCAGGTGGAGAGCCCGCGACCCACCCCGCGATCAACTCGCGACCAACCCGCGACCCAAACCACGTTCAGGGTACAAACCACATTTTTCGGTGCCTGCGGCGGGCATCTTTTGCATTTGTTCTAGGTGGAGAGACCGCGGCCCACCCGCGACCACGTTCAGGGTACAAACCAAATTTTTCGGCGCCTGCGGCGGGCATCTTTTGCATTCGTTCCCGGTGGAGAACCCGCGGCCCACCCGCGACCCAAACCACGTTCAGTGTACAAACCAAATTTTTCGGCGCCTGCGGCGGGCTGCTTTTGCAGGAGGACGAGGAGGAGAAGGAGGATGAGGATGAGGATGAGGATGAGGATGAGGAGGAGGAGGAGGAGGAGGACGAGGAAGGGGACGACGACGACGTCGACGACGACGACGACGAAAAGGAGGAGGGGGGAGGATCGGGAGGGGGGGAAGAGGAGGAGGACGACGAGGAGGAACATGACGACAATGGGAGGACGATGATGGAAGGACGAGGGGGGCAGAGGGAGGACGAGGAAAAAGCGGAGGAGGAGGAGGAGGAGGAGGACGAGGTGGAGGAGGAGGACGACGATGACGATGAGGACGAGGACGAGGACGAGGAAGAGGAGGAGGAGGCGGAGGAGGAGGAGGAGGAGGAGGAGGAGGAGAGCGCCATCGACAGGGAAGGTGGGGGCCACGAGGTCCGCCGGCTTGACGACGCCCGCGTCGCCCGCGCCCGCCCCCTCACTCTTATCCGCAATTGCGGGGTGCTACGTATTCAATAGATCATCTTTGCCATGAGTTGCTTCGCATCATGGTTTGGAAGACACGCGACAAGAACCCGCTCGGTGTCTGCAGCTGCCGCTGTGATGTTGCAATATGGTAGCCCTGCTGCTAACATGAGAAGGACTGGACGTGATTCATTCGAATTGGGGCGAACGTGCGACTCTGGATTCTGGTCGGGCATATCCTCCTACAGGGGGATGTTGGACGAACAAATGAAACATACCCCCAAAAGTTCTCCAGAATGGTAAAACATACAAGACACATCCTCACCAGAACATGCTTTGACTCTGTTGGAAGAGTCCTCCTGTAGAGGGACGTGCCCGACTCGACTCTGGATCCTGATGTGTGGCTGGCGCTGCCGCGGAAACTCTGCTCCGCACCACCCTCGGCGACGCGGGGCCTCGGCAGCCAGCCCGTCCTCCGCCTCCGGATCGCTCTGGCCGCCCTCGGTGCCCTCGAGGCCCACCTCGCCCACGCCCTCCACACGCACCAGACCGGCGCTGCGGGGAAGGGCCCCGCCGCCTCCCCGGCCCTCCGCCTCCGGATCCGTCTGGCCAGCCTCGGCGTCCTCGAGGTCGCCCACCTGGTCCTGCCCGTCGAGGCGCTCTGGTGACGGATCGCCCGCCCGCGATGCTGGCGGTCCAGTGCGAGAGACCTCCAGGCTGGCAGGGCGGGGCGCGACGGGTGCGGAGAAGCAGCGGGTTCTGAAAGAGTTGGTGGCCAGGATACACGTCGGTTGGAAGAAGTAGATGAAGCCATGAAGTAGGAAGGCGGATCAAGGAGGCTGGGTTCAGTCCCTCCCAGAGAATAACAGAACACAGCAAAGGCATATCGATTGTTGAAATAGGAAGGCGCTAGAAGTAGATTGGGATTTGGGCATCCAAAAATACCTACTTTCAACGACCGGCGTGTACAAGCATCAATCGAAGAAGCAAGTTGGCGAGCTGGCGAGCGAGTGCCGGAGAACTCCGAGCTGGCAGGGCAGGGCGCGACGGATCGGGTGAAGCCAGCGGGTTCAGAAAGAGATGGATTCAGAAGCAAATTGGCGAGCTCGTGATCGAGTGCAAGAGACCTCCGAGATGGCAGGGCAGGGCGCGACGGATCGGGTGAAGCCAGCGGGTGATGCCAGCAGTCCCGCACCAAAGCAGGGCACTCAGATGCCCTCAAGACGCGCCAAGACGGCCACGGGGGGGAGGGCCCAGCCGATCCGAGAACTCCCAAGGACGGCCAAATTCCGCTCGAAGAGGGCTGGAAGACGGCTCCAAGAACCGCCTAACGGCCGTGAGATTGGCAACATGTCAACTCAACTTACGACACCGATCCCTCTTGGACGCATTCCTGATCAACTGTCCAGACCCTCCGCCTCCTCCGACTCGTCTTCTTGGGCTACGACTGTGATAAACACCCCCCGATGGCCAACCACATGCTTAAGGGGCAAGCGGGAGGACGAGCAAGGATGACGATGGAAACACCGTAAGTATCGAGAAATCCCATCCATCCCCCGATGCATCCTCCAGCCTCCACCCCCCCCTTGTTCATCTCTTCCATCCCCCCGTCCCACAAGAGTCGAAGAGGATAGGCAGGGTCGCGCAAGAGGTGGCGCACGAGACCTCGAGCATCAAGCTCGTCCACTGCGCTTCCACTTCGCCTGCACAATCCCTACTTAGACAAATACCCAGAACAAGACTACAGTTCCTAAGCTGGCGAGGCTGATCAATGGCACGCTTCGGGAAGACAATGCTCATGATAGGGACGTTTGGACCCTACCCAACTCATCGGTTCTGACAAGGCTATTGGGAAGAATCCGATACACGCGAACACTACCAGGCAGAATACCCAAGGGCAGAATATGGGCGGCAACTTCGAAACCCAACGTGCTGGGTCAACTCAATGCGGGAACCTACAGGCGGCGACCACGAAAATCACCACTCGGGGCAGCTCAAGGGGGTGGCGGGGGGAACCTTACGGGCAAGACCGTGCGAGGTACGACCGATGAACCCAACACAAATGGTAAACCGAGGGCGAGACCTTGTGGGCGCGACGCTGTGGGTGACGAACACGGGGCCCCTCATTCAGCTCAAAACAACGCATGGTGGGACCTTACGGAACCTATGGGCGGGACCTGGTGGGCAACGACCACAACATGTACCATGCAAGGAGGCGGGACCGTGTAGACAACAACCAGAAACTCCAACGTGTATAAACAATCTCCTCTTGCGCCCGCGATTGAAGTATCCATTCATGTTTGCACTGCCAGGTGCACCATCCAACAACATGACATGCCGACCCTCGCCCCATCCGCCCACCGAGCTGCTCCACAACGCATCGAGACACCAAATTGACGACGTGGATAGCCGCCTCGTCCACCTGCCCGCTCGGTTGGGGCGCGTTCCCGTCTGGCAGGGTACGGCGCGGGTTTCCACAACTAGCCGCCGTCAAGAAACAACGCTCCGGCTGGGCAGAGGAGGCATCCCACCAGCCCTCTGGGCACATGCGGTTTACAGCGGCTCTTCTTCCATCGTCCCTCTTACCATTCGGGTAGGGGCCACTGCTCCTGATGAATATACACACCATCCCCTCCCCGGACCGTAGACAAACCCGGGACCCCCTGAGCGCCCACCCCTCCGCCACCCCTGCCAACAAAAACTATGCGAAGCGAACGTTGCGGCCAGATCTTGGGTCATGCTCGGGGGGACCTGCGAACACTTCGCATTGTTGAAGGGGCCCCAGGACACACAAATAAATACACACATAAACATATTCCCCCTCTTTTCCCATATTTTCTGGGTTTCTGTCTTCCCCCCACTTCCCATATGTTCCCATATCTTCTGGGGAATCGAAGATTCATTGTGTCTGTGTGTTTTTTCCTCTCCTGCATTGTTCCCAGCCTCCCTGCGCCGGGTCCTCGCTTGGAACGGAACGCTGCGGTCTCCACTCCGCCCTTCCCTCCCGCCTCCCGCTTCCCCTCTGCTAGTCTTCGTTTTTAGTGTTGCCTGTGTTCCTGCGGTCTACCTGGCCTGGACCTGCCTACCAGCCTGCCTTTTGCATCGCCTGCCCCTTTCCTCGCCGCCCGTCCGGCCTTCCAGCCTCCTCCCCCTCCTGCCTCTTCCCGCGGAGGGTTGCGAGCAGCGACGCTGCTGCCCCTCTTTCCAAGGCTGCTGGAGGGTCCAGCGGAGTGATGCGCCACGCAGCCTCAGGGCCGACTTCGCCATCCGTGGAGGGCTGCGAACTCTGAAACCGTCGCCACTTCCGGGGGCTGCTAGAAGGCCCAACGGAGCGACGCGCCACGCAAACCCAGAGTGAACGTCGCCATCCATGAGAACTGCGAACTGTGAAACTGCCCCCACGTTCGAGGGCTGTTGGAGGGTCAAGCGGTCTGACGAGCAGCGCAGGCTCTGACTCGACCTCGGCACCCCTGGGCGGGGGGGAGGGGGCTGCGATCTGTGAGCCAGTCGCCACTTTCCAGGGCGGTTGGAGGGTCAAGAGAAACCGCGCGCTACGCAGACACATATTGAGACCTCAGTATCCTTGGGAGCTGCGATCTGTGAAACTGCCGCCATGTTCGGGGGCTGCTGGAGGGTCCAGCGGAGTGACGCGCTACGCTGGCTCAGATTCGACTTCGCGCCCTCCGCGGGGGGCTGCGAAACGCGAAACTGCCCCCACTTTCAATGGCTGCTGTAGGGTCCAGCGAAATTATGCACGACGCAAACTCTGATTCGACCTCGGCAACCCTGGAGGGCCCGAAAGCGCATCGCGGTGCACCCACATATGAAGCCAAAACTGAAGCTGAAGATCACAGAACAACGAAAAGGGCCCACCCTGCACGTTTGGTTGACGACACCTCGTTTGAGCGGTGCTGCAGCCTCCTCTGGGCACAGGCCCCCCCAGAGCATCAGCCGAGCAAGCTGGGTTTGCACCCTCATTCCTTGCTGGACTCTGGGCGTGTGCCGGCGTCCCCATCAACAGGGCCGCCGAACCTGGTGATGGCGATAGCGACAGTGGCTTTGGCCGACGCGTCCAAGCCTGGCGGCGTGCAAAGCCCGAATACGAGGCGATCGATTTCCTCTGAACCGGACCGGGGAACAAAAGCATCAGCAGGGAGGGGACACAAGACTGATGGGGAGAGCATGGAAGACAAGGCGCGACTAGCGAGAGGTTAGAATTAGCTTAAACAAGAGTGGCGACAATGTTTGTTTCGCCAACGGGAAGCAACAGACCCCAACAATGGCAAACGCGCAAAGAAAACCACCACCCAAGGGCCAGGAACCAGTTGGACTCGGACGACTCCGCGCGGCTTACGCGCGCAGATTGCACCAACGGGGACTCGTCGTCCCCTTGGAGGTGTATATTTCGCACTTCGCGGAGCTGCTCGCTGGGTTTCGTCTCCTCCTCTTTGGGGGAAGGCGGAGTATCAAACATTCTGGGGGCACCTCGGTGGCCGCACTGTCCAACTTCGGGCGTCCCCCATTACAGCGCGCGATCTGTCCGCCGCTCGAGATTGTTGCGACTCGGGGGACCGCGCTCCTTGGCCAGCAAGGCCAGTGGGCCTAGAGTCGAGATCGCTTCGCATCTAGCGAATACAAAAGACGAGATATGTCGCTGAAGTTTAAAGCTAAAAGGACACTGGCCTCTCACTCCCACTTCTTGCAACGATTCTGGCGATGCTCTAGAAAGATAACAACAACAACGGTGGTTTGTCACTGTCTCCAGAAACAAATTCTTTCAAAGGTCGGCGACCCTTCAGGCAGACAGCGCACCTCCAGTAAGTGCTGCACCATACACACTAATGGTGGACAATGGTGGACAGATGGGGCCAAAGTCTTGGGCAAGGGCCCCCGTCGGATCCTAGGGCATCTTTGGAGGTCGAGCGCGGGCCACAAGGGTAAGACACCGGCCGCCAAACTGCACGCTGCCTTGGCAATCCTGCTGCTTGGTCAAACCGAAGTTGTTTGCCACTCGTGCTTTCACCCCGCTCAACACCGCCAGGTCGCACGAATGCGCGATCATCACCGCGCCAGCTTGTACAAAAAACGGGCGACAGGACCCAGCGCGAACGCGTTGACCAAACTCGCGCCATCCGCCCAGGAGATCATGGGCCACCCTGGCCAAGGCCCCAAACTCAGCCGACTGTGGGGCGCATGGCATCACGCCGAGCAGGTCTCCTGAGCCTCCTGGGGAACCGGTGCAAAAGCCCACGTGGCCCTGCACAGTTCTTTGATCGGGTATCTCGTGCAGAAGCCGTCCATGGACGCACCTCCTTCGATCGCCTGGCCATGCTCAACCTCCTCCACCTCGTGACCTCCGGACCTGAAAATTCGCCGCCTCCCTCCTGCCGCGGGTGTGGGAGCTGGTCTCCACCATGTTCAATGCGCTCATCAATACAAAACGAAATCTCCCGACCGTCCGATCGATCGAGGTCCCGACCGGCCTGCGTCACCTCATCATCCATCGAGTCATTTCGTTCGGGCTCGACCGCCGCGCGCCCCCACAATCTCTTGAAGACCGCATCCCCTGCCTGGCCGCATGGGTGGGGCAATGAGCACAAGGCGGACCGTCGCCCAGGTCGTACGCGCGCCCCCTTATCCACAAAGTTCCGCGCACAAGAAAGAGACTTGAGGCATCCATTCTGGACCCGTGTATTTGGGCGACTCGATCTAAGATGACGCGATATCATAGAGTGCTCTACGTTGGGCGCCGCAAGCATCCCCAACGTCGCAAGCTGCCGCTGGAAGACCCCTGCCCGCAAAACTGTGTCAAACAAGCGTATTCTCTGGAGTCGTTAGCGACGATGCTGTCATGTTTCGTGCCCCGCCGGGTCCTGTGGAAGCTTGCGCGGAACGCCGAGAGGGGGCCGGTCTCGCGTCTTTCAAACATCCCGATCATGCGGATGGTGAAAGCCGCCCCCCCCCCACCCCACGATTCTCAAAACGTCTTGAATGACGAGACAAGCTCGGACGACCTCACCCGGTCGGGAAAAATACTGCCTTCTCTCGCGCATATCACCACTGTTGCAACTGATCCATGCAACGATTGACCTCTATGGGGGATGCGACATGCGAGATGCGATAAACCGCAGACGGACGCAATACAGAGACGAGGGCGCGCCGTGGTGGTAGAGGAGTCATGGTCCGACAGGCCGCGTTTTCTGTGGACAAGCCTGCTAGTATTCACCTCACGAAGATGCTACGGATGTGATTGTCTAGTGAAGCCTTGGCGCGCTTGAGGGGTTTCGTTCTCTGTTTGAAGAGGGCCGCTCTCGCTTAGTGCTTCTCCTCTCGCCTCGTCCTCCTGCGCGTCCCCGCCACGTCCTCAATCCTCGCGTTGGCTGGAGACTCCCCCAAAGGTGTTCCGCCGCGCCGTCCTTGGAGCTTGCCAGAAAAAAGTCGCCTACTTTCCGAGATGCACAAAATGACCGAGGTCTGGTCCTGAGCCACCTTGGACCGCGTGTTCCCCGATAGCACCGCAAACAGTCCGGCTGCTGTGTGTAATGTACATGAACAAATACATAACAACAGTTCTTCGTGCCAACATTCATATACATACATACATATACATTCACACCTATAGTTCTGTAAATATATATGTATATTTATATACATATATATACATATCTATATGCATTGCGCTGCCTACCCAGGCTTGCCTGTCGACTGCGCCCCGCCATCACCTACATGCATGTCGAGGGCCGCGCGTCGAGGGAAGGCGATCGGGTCGACGGCGGGCATCGCGCACGCCCGAACACCAGTAGTGGCCGAATGGCACCCTGCAGACACTCCTGCGGCGGCGAAATGTGGGCCGCTCGCCGTGCTCGCAATCATCAAACAGCGGGGGGCCTTGCACGCCGCTAAGCTCGCGCCGCGCAGCTGCTCGGGGGAATTGAAGGCCGCGCACATCAGCCAACGCGAGGCGCACAATGGTCTCGCAACACGTGGGCGAGCCCCACAGAACTGCGCGCGCGATAATATGTTCCGCGTCTTTCCGTGGCTTTCGTCCAGATCCGCGGCTGCTCAGCATTCCAATGGGTCATCGCCCCCAGCTGGCTGAGTCAATGGAGGACCGAGGATCGCGCGCATCTGGTCCGGCATGGTAGAGGTCGCCTCCATCACTGAATAGAAAGTATCGTCGGAATTACCGAGCCAGAGCCGCGAGGAAGCCGTCGAGCCAGATGGCAGAAGGCAGCGTGATTATGTAAGAGATGTCTCTCATGCTCTGAGGCGTCACGAAGTCGACGAGCGGGGTGTATCCAGCTTGCGCGGGGCCCTCAGGTGTCTCGGCACTGTCTCGGCGGCCTCCTAGAGCTCCGGGCAACGCTTGGACTCGGAGGCCAACGCCAACAATGACTCGAGATCCGCCAGGGCGGCCCCCGG